AACCCGGGTCCCCAGAACATTATCTGGTCTCTGGACTAACAGTCCAGCGATAATACCACTAATATACCCCCTAATATTTCCTTATGTGCTACAATGTCAAACTGCTAACTCTCCTCTTGAGTATCTCAGGCATTTTACCACATTAAAAGGTATCGTATCATTGCAAACTGTTTTTGTTATTGTAACTAAGCCATAAACAGCAAGAAAGTCTTAAGTTGGATCTCCAGCTTGCATTAAGTTAGCTAATGTTAAACAGGTTAGTAATAAGTATTGTACCGTTTCTTAGCAGCCCAGACTAAGGAGGAGCAAAAATCAACAGGAGTCTCACTCCAGATTGCTTTCAGCAAGTAACTTATATAAAGTGCTTGCATGTAGACGTTGGTAAAGTGGGACTCGGCTGATCCCCCTTTCCTACAGCTCTTGTAGCACAGACATAGTGTCCTTGTCTCTGAGCTAGGAGGCCTGTGTTCAAGTCTCACCTGCTCCAGAGGTGTGTCATAACATCCTTGAAAAGGTTGATTAGAAAATATCTAGCCTATGATAGTGGGGTGGGGATCCTATGGCACGGTGCTAGTGTCTCTACCCTTGAGCTAGGAGGCCTGAGTTCAAGTCCCACTTGTTCCATTGGTATATAATAAAATCTCTGCAGGTTGATTAGGAGAAAGAAATATAGCTTGTGACATGAGGGCGCCTGTGGCACAGTGGTAATGTTCCTACCTCTGGACCAGAAGGGACACATTCAAAGTCCCACCTCCTCCTGAGGTATATGATTGCATCTCTGAACAGGTTGATTAGGAAATTATAAAAGAAAAGCTTATGACAGGAGCGCTCTTGTAATGCAATGGTGGTGTCCTTACCTCTGAGCTAGGAAGCCTGGATTCAAGTCCCACCAACCCCATATGTGTATCATAACTCATTCAAACAGACTATTTCACAATATCTTAAATTAGGCAGATGATGTGATCCTGACTCAGATGAATCTTTACAAGTGTTTGAAGGGGTCTTGTGGTGTGGGGGTAGTGTCCCTATCTCTGAGCCAGGAGACCTAAGTTCAAGTCCCACCTGCTTCAGGTGTGTAGGAACATCTCCAAACAAGTCCATTGGAAAATATCTAGCCTGTGATATTTATATTTTGGCTCCTATGTGAAGGACAGCCAGTTAGGCAAGGCACCAAAGCAACCTGTGTCAGTCAGAAACTGCATATCAAAAAAGAAACTGGAAATAAATAAATGGAGCAGTTAAAATCAACACAATCTTCATGTAGGAGATAACAAACTTTCAGTCCACAAGCATACTGAATGAGTTTACTGGCTCATTTAGCTCAGCTCACAATCAAAGAACTTCACTTTTCAACAAAGCCAATTTAATATGACCAACAGCTACAAATTCAATTCTGCTGTGAATAATTTCCATGGTCTATTCTACTCCTAAACCATATAGACACATCCTTCAATTCTTCAATCTCTACAAAAGGTAGTTCAAGCAAAGATTTATTTTGTGATGAGGCCAAATGCAAAACCAATGATCTGATTTATTAATGGTATCAATATTTCAAACATGTATTATTGTAGCTAAACTCACTTCATTCAACTCACCTTCATGTAATAATGCAATGTCCTTGTCAAACAAATTCTCATTCATGGGTCGATTACCTTGGTGTAAACACAATTCCTATCGAACAGTATTTCTCACCATTCTGCCTCATGAAAAGCTCTCTCTTTAACAAACCTGAAAGCTTTCACAGCCTTGTTTCAAAACAGCTGTAAGCCAACCTGTGCTCCAAGATCTGCTTTCTCCCCGCGTTCGCAGTATGACAGGCCACAAATGACTCTCCAAAAGAAAAGATGGTAGGGTGGCTCAGTGGTTAGCACTACTACCTTACAGTACCAGGGATCTGGGTTCAATTCCACCACTGGGTGGCTGTCTGTGTAGAGTTTACACATTCTCCCCGTGTCAGTGTGGGTTTCCTCCAGGTGCTCTGGTTTTCTTCCCCCAGTCCAAAGATGTGCAAGTTAGGTGGATTAGCTAAATTGCCCCATAGTGGCCAGGGCTGTGTAAGTTAGATATGTCAGCCATGGGAAATATTGAGTGGGGAAATGAGTCTGTGTGCAGTGGGTTGGTATGGACGTGTTGGCCAAATGGCCTTTTTCTACACTGTAGGGACTTTATGTTACAACTACCTGCACAAGCTAACGTGTTTTTGGTTTGTCACTAGATGAAAAAAAATCCGAGCACTTTAACCTTGGAGGCATTTTAGCCTTGTGGATAGTGCGGAAGGATGTTGCAGGTTACAGAGGGACATAGATAAGCTGCAGAGCTGGGCTGAGAGGTAGCAAATGGAGTTTAATGCGGAAAAGTGTGAGGTGATTCACTTTGGAAGGAGTAACAGGAATACAGAGTACTGGGCTAATGGTAAGATTCTTGGTAGTGTGGATGAGCAGAGAGATCTCGGTGTCCGTGTGCATAGATCACTGAAAGTTGCCACCCAGGTTGATAGCGTTGTTAAGAAGGCGTACGGTGTATTAGGTTTTATTGGTAGAGGGATTGAGTTTCGGAGCCATGAGGTCATGTTGCAGCTATACAAAACTCTGGTGTGGCCGCACTTGGAGTATTGCGTACAGTTCTGGTCACCGTATTATAGGAAGGATGTGGAAGCATTGGAAAGGGTGCAGAGGAGATTTACCAGGATGTTGCCTGGTATGGAGGGAAGGTCTTATGAGGAAAGGCCGAGGGACTTGAGGCTGTTTTCGTTACAGAGAAGAAGGTTAAGAGGTGACTTAATAGAGACATACAAGATGATCAGAGGATTAGATAGGGTGGACAGTGGGAGCCTTTTTCCTCGGATGGTGATGGCTAGCACGAGGGGACATAGCTTTAAATTGAGGGGTGATAGATATAGGACAGATGTCAGAGGTAGGTTCTTTACTCAGAGAGTAGTAAGGGCGTGGAATGCCCTGTCTGCAAAAGTAGTAGACTCGCCAACTTTAAGGGCATTTAAATGGTCATTGGATAAACAAATGGATGATAATGGAATAGTGTAGGTTAGATGGGCTTCAGATTAGTTTCACAGGTCGGCGCAACATCGAGGGCCGAAGGGCCTGTACTGCGCTGTAATGTTCTATGTTCTACGGTGTTGCATTTTGCTTAAATAAAATCTTTAAAAGCAATTTTGTAATTCCAAATCCTTTCTATAGACAAATGGCTACAAATACTGAAATATGACACCAGTACAACAAAGCTGCTTCTGATTTTGAGATTCTATGATTTCCTCTACAAAAATTAAACATCACTTGCCATTTAGTGATGTCAGGTCAAGCGCTGAATCCTGTTACCATAATGCCAGCAGAAAACACAACTGGTCATGGACTGTTGATATCAGTTAAGTAACCCAGTTATTTCACAAAGTGCTGACAGTTTCAGGTGGATAAACTCCTGGAGAATGTTCATAGGGTCCTTAGTAGAGGAAATGCAACCAAGTTGCAAATGAACAATTTTTCAGCCAATTTCAGCTGCATCTTATGATTCATTACATAGCTGGATTATAGCACAGGGCAATGGAAGATCAACTATGGATAGTCTGAATTCATATCCCTGTCTTAGGTGTGCAGGACTGTCAGAAGAGCTTTAGAAATAGTCAATGGAATTCTACTTCTCAATTGCTGACAAGCTAAAGGTACAAGCCCACACAACGTTATATTGGCCCCAGGTTAGATTCCTGTTTTGTCAGGATAGAAGCGCGGATTACTAATAACAGGCTCATCTTTGCAGTGTTAGAGAAGAGGAAAATCAGTCAGGGTTTCCATTCATCATCATTATTATTCTGTGACATCAGCTGGTAAGTGCGAGCATGCGGATGAAAGGATAGGACAGAACCTGACCCAGCTGTGAAAAGCTCACTAGCACCATCCCATACCCACAGGAGCAAATAGCGTGCAGCCTCGCAGATGAAGAAACCGACAGACTCCAATGGGTCTAGGCCTGAAACGTCAGCCTTCCCGCTCCTCTGATACTGCTTGGCCTGCTGTGTTCATCCAGCTCTACACCTTGTTATCTCAGACTCCAATGCCATGCGGTCCTTAAAACTCAGAACAGTCACCACCTTCTAGGCACGAGAGGAAGAAGTGAGAGCAAAGGAATTGTGCTGCATTTCACAGCCCTGAAATGTTTACTGTTTCCAGTTACAGTTCCATTTCGGTGTTTGACTGAACAATGTTCGATCTTGGAGAAATTTACCAAACCCCTACAAGTGAACTGTGTACCTAAAAGACTGTGAACATCTCTGATGGGTGTTGCTTACACAAAATAAGGTGGTGCTCTCTGCCAGATGCGTATATCTGTCAACACGCCGTGCCCACGTGTAGCACAGCCTGATAGCTTTGCACTCCGGGCGGCCGGAGCGGCTTCCCGGAGTGCAAAGTGACACTGGCAGCTGCTGGTTGGAAGGTAGAAGCAGCACTGGCAGCTGAGTTGATGTCCCGCTGGCTGAGGGGCAGATACAGTTGGAAGGATTACAGTCAGCAGCAGGGGAGCGGGAAGGGCGAGAGGCCGCAAACTTGTCCCTGGCGCGCAAGCTCTCATCTCCTCAGGCAATTCGGCCAAAAAAAAATCGGCTAAACACTTCTTAAAACTGACAAAAAAAAATCCGAACACTTCTTTCTCCACAATTGCAGCACTTTCCCGTGTAAATACATCTGTAAAAGTGTGTGTGTACATTTTTTTAAGTTTCTGGTACTGCCAGGATGTTAGTCATATATCTTGGTCGATCCCTGTACAGGAATCCCAAATAAACGTTACAATTGTTAAAATATTAAAATGTTTAAAATGTATCTTCAGCGGAGTTACAAATGTATTTAATCCAAACCTAGGACAAAAGGATTCATGTTCAATTGGTACCAAGCCGCGACGGGAGCTTGTGCCCAAACGAAACATTTTTTTTATATCAGGACAATGTTTCCACATGTTTTGGAAAGTGCCGAGCTTTAGCCCAAGCGGTGACTTACGCTGCTGTTCTCTCCCGTCCAGTGCACCATCGCCTGGTTGTGGGAAGCGTCTCCTCTCAGGATGAAGGAGGTGCTAATCAGAGCCGGCTCCTGCTGCGGGCTAGAGGACCTCTTCACCCGAGCTCCGTCGGCCGGTCCGTCCCGCTCACCCGGAGCCCCGCGCTGGGCTTGTTTCCCGATAGCGGTGCCCGCGGTTCGCTCCTTGTGCAGTGAGATCCCGGCCAGAGCCGACGGCACCAGGAAGAGTCCGAATGAAATGTAAAGCCACAGGTATCTGGAAGGAGAGCTCCGCGTCCGAGGAGCCGGAGGAAGGGCACTGCCATTGTGCACCGCGACTGCCATGATCTTGTGGCCGGTGGTCCTTGTAGAGCGGCTGCTAACCAGAGTGGATTTAATCTGTGTGTGATCCTTCCAAACCCTGAGACAGATCCACAGTCTCACGCGCGCACACACACACACACAGAAAAAGAGGGTGGAACAGCAGCTCTGTAAAAGCTCTCAGAATTTTCCCCCTCTTTGCTCATTCAATCGCTTACACTCAGGCAGCCAAAGCGCACCATCTGCCGGAGGTAGAGACAAGGACCTCAGCTCACATTCTGAGAAAACTACAGCACTGTACACATTTAACTCATGCAGACAACATGGAGACTTGGTGCTGCCTGGTGCGCCGTTCTGGAGGTGGTCACCCCTGCAAGACTATCCCGGAATCTTCAGGAGTTAAAGATAAATCTTCTCCATACTGCTGTGGTAAATTCGGAAACCACAAAGAATCATCAGAAATGCATTTTGAACATTTTTTTTGGTTTGTTAGTGAAAAAGTATTGGAGATGCAGGGGTGTAAAGTGCTTGGAAATGGGAGGTCATATGATGAAACTTCCGCTATCGCCTTGGCAGTACACTGCACATCTCTTCGGAGTTAAAACTCTTGCTGCTGACTTGTAACCTCAAAAAGTTTAAAAGAAGTAATGACAGTACAGTGTGAAGCTGGAGGAACACTATTGTTTCTGACTCCAGCATCTGCAGTTCTTGCTATCTCTGAGTGAGTTATAACCCCACTGCGAGGCCTCTTTCAAGGATGCCCACCTTGAAAAACTTGTCCTCCCCCCTCAGACAGACCTCAGTGGATCTCTGTCCCACAGCAACCCTCTGATAATCTCCTCTGCCCTGAAACTCTTTGACCACATACTTGAACAAACCTGGTACTACAATCACATCTCCTTTCTCAGTACCTCCCTACACAGCCGAGTCAGCCCTAATGGACTCCAAACAACATTCAGGCCATCCCAATTTGGTCCCAACCGTGACAACCTCTACCGAGCCTCCAGAGCCTCCAAAAACAGTTTTCTCTCTGGATTCTCAAGTACATACTCTCAGCAATGCGCCAGCATCTTCTGGCATTACAATCAACCTTACCCCAGCTCAGAGCCTCCTTCTCCCAGACCTGCAAAGGACCTCTTCTGTTTTTCATTCTGCGCAGGATCCACACCCTCAACCAATGCCTTTTCTCATTTCTGAAGAAGAGTCCTGACCCGAAATGTCAACTTTCTTGCTCCTCTGACGCTGCCTGGCCTGCTGTATTCTTCCAGCTCCACACTGTGTTTTCTCTGTCTCTAGCATCTGCAGTTCTTGCTATCTCCAAAAGGAAGTAGTAAGATATGTTTTAAACGCATTTGTGCTACAATGCGTTGTGAGGTAGAAATGTGCAGATTAGTGATATCCTCAGAGCGCATTCCTAATCTTGGTCGTCATCTGTTCTACTTTGTCACAATGCCAGTCAGTGTTGTAGAAGAACAAAAACAATAATAACCAGTAAAACCTAGAAAGATATTGGTCCAGACTGGAGTTCTATATTAAGGTGTATACAAGACGTGTTCAGACCAGTATCGTCATGTCCATGTCTTACTGTTTTGTTCTTCCGGAATGATATACTGTACATATTCTATATATTTATAGCTTGAAGCAATTGTAAGCCTAGTCACTCTGGGCCTCTTGTACATCCTCTAGTGGCGGGTGTCAAAAGCAAAGCTGCTACCTACTTCGAATCAGAGATAGTAGGAACTGCAGATGCTGGAGAATCCGAGACAACAAGGTGCAGGGCTGGATGAACACAGCAGGCCAAGCAGCATCATAGGAGCAGAGAGGCTGACGTTTCGGGCCTAGAC